GATGGATGAAAGGCTCTGGTAAGATGCTTTCCGTATGTGTCATAGGGGGACGCAAACAGAATGATTGTCCATTAATTAGGCTTCACTTTGAATCATACCAAGAAGGGTGCCCTCAATTATCTAACGATTCACAAACAAACAAACAAACAAACAAACAAACAAACAAACAAACAAACAAACAAACAAAGAAAAGCACACACATATTTCTCTCTATGCTGAGTTCCCATATGTTGCGATACAATGCTCCGAAAATATATTCCACAACCAACGTAAGTTGCGAAACGAGCAGCAACTGCAAGGGGCACGTTTCGTGCGTGGTGCGTTCCCAACTGCCCTTAAGCTGAAGGACCCATAGGAGTTATGACGCGTTTATACCCCGTGCCATACCCAACCAAGAGCCACCGCCCAAAGGCCGGAACGAAAACGGCTACGGACGTACACGCTGAGACACGTGTTGACCCCATGCACATCCGAATAGACATTCCAAGAACGATCCAACATACCTTTTGCGCAGACCCGGTGTTGGGGTGTGCCGATAGGCTTCAACAAATGTCACTAAGAAATTAAATGGGTTCTCGACTAGTTACAGCTCAACGCTCGAATGCGATAAATCTTAACATCAAACTCCTTCCAACCTAAGCCTCAATTTGGTACAGCAGATGCTAAGGAGAAAATCCGGTCCCCTGAACCAAAAGGACCGAAACGGGAAACGCACGCAAGCAGTAGGCCCCAGCCAGGCTTCCCTTGCGAGCACATGCTATGTCGCGTGCATCCGCGCACGGATCCATGCGGTTTCTGCGAAATGCTATGTTGACCTGCCCAACAGCCAGTGTCGGCCCAGCCTTACCATGTCACAGTTCATCAGCTCCGGAAGTAGCCGAGACTTCAAATGCTCAAAGCAACGCTCTTCAAGCAGGGCCTAAGGTTCTTTCTGTGTTTTGCAAGTCGGGTGTTTCCGGCCTTAAAGCTGCCCGAAGCAACATCTGCAGTGTGTCTCAAAATCCGAAAGCCCTGTAGGTGGTAGGTCTTTTCTTTCAATCCATGCAAGAGGGCTCCTGCATCGTGCCCAAAGGCCAGCCTTTGGATTTGTCAACTGCTCACATACCCCAACTTGCAGAGCCTGAACATTCCTTTCGGTCTCTGAAAACATGAACCACACCCACCATTTCTAGAGGAATCCCCTTTTTGGGGGACCCGTTTTATGGGTTCCATGGGCAACCTGGGGAGTAAACTGGTCAGAATTCGGTGAGAAATTCATGCCCCCCCAACCAGTTGGCAGGTGATTTCCGTGCCGAGCTGCGAAGTGGAGCAACAAGAACACGGTGCCTCGGGAAGCAAACCACAGCCCCGCACCCGGGGGGTCCCTTAGTACCTCTTGAGGATAGGGATCTCTGGTCAAAGAAAGCTTCGGTACCTCCAACTTGAAGGAAAACTGATGGAAAGGTTCTCTTCTACTTAGAAACCAAAGCGCCCAGGTTCCACCGCCTCTACAATTTTCTTAAAACCTAATTACTTAGAAGGGGTTTGTAAGAAGAGATTTCCGGACTGGAAGGCCCTGCTCACTGTGTCACTGCTGACCTGCAACCCAAACGGTTGAAAACAATGACGCTGCGCTTCTTCTGGATCCCATCTTTCTGGAGAGCCCATGAAGCAAGGCTAATGGTAGCACCGAACTACTGGGAATGGGCCGTGATTGGAGAGCCAGAAAACCAGGACACCACCTTCGCTCCCGGCCCAGCCTGAAAGGGACCCTCTGGAAAACACCTTTTCCTTCAGAAGGGACCTCCATGTTTTCTTGCAAAGGGCTGAGAAACAATGCTAGTGCCACGACAACCCTTTATGTGATACCAGCACATCTGCCAAACTCTGCAGCGTAGAGTCTGGAACAAAACAGAACCTACCCATCCCTGTTTGGCACCGCTTAAGAAACCCTGGAGTGATGGGTTTCCCATGGTTTTCAAGTGATGCAGGATTTTGTCCACCCACAGTATGGTCTCTTTGGCAGTCGGATCTCAGCGGAAGAAGCGCTGTGCTTTTCAGCGAGGCGCCCAAACCAAGGAAGAAGGCCAAGGCTGGCTTGATGGCATCTTGCCGCAACTTACTCTTCCCCTGGCGCGCTGCGAGGCGCGCTGCGAGGCCGCGGGCAACTTGTTCGGCGCAAACGCAGAAGCATTTTCCTCTGACAAGCGCCGCGAAGTGTGGTTGAAAATCCTCATGGTTCCTACATGGGTGTGTCTGTTTTTGGCGGACCCAACAAAAATGTGGTGTTCCTTTTGGTTTCCCTTTCAACCAACAAGGGTACCCTGAAAAAAAAGGCAGACCCATATTCGAAGAACTGAGGGGTGGTTCCAAAGAACAGCCCTCAAGAGCATGTTACAGAACGACCATCGTCACTTCCAGCCCCTTGGGCTTCAGTTTTTGGCTTGCGCAGTCAGAGGCGTCCGAATTCTGGCGGGATGCGAGCCCACCAGGCAGCCTGCCATGTTTGGGGGAAGCATGAGCATTACCAAAAGGCCCCCTTTGGAGAAGAAAATCATGATAAGTCAGTGATTCGAAACGTCCAAACACTGTCACCTTTACTCCCGCGCAGCTTTGTTGTGGTTCGTGAGTAAATATGCATTTCCCAAAGAGGTATGGGTGAAAGATCTGGCCTTGTAACAAGCAAGCGGTCGGACGCTTGTTGTTTGGGGGGTTGATGTTGACACTTTCGACTCCCGGATGGCACTCCGACCCGCCTTGCCGCCCATCCGCCCACATCTCCCGCCGCGAAACTCGCGAGATGACACTTGGGCGGCGTAAGATGCGCGCAGATCTGAGTGTGTCCTAAAACGGAAGATTGGGGTTTGTACTTGTTGTTGGCGTTCCCTTTTCAGGGGTCATTTTTTGAAGAGATATCAAAAGGAGAACCATTGTTACAAATTGTTCATAGGGCTCGACCCCATTTTGCAACGTACCCGTGAGAGGTCTCGGGGTCTCGGCTCCACTGGGCTTGAGCTCAAGCCTCGGGAAACGTCCACACCGGAAAGCCCTCGAACTGCGGCTGATTTTTCAACTTCCAGTCTGAGTTGAATCCATTCGAGTCATTCCTATCACCTTGGTCCTGTTGTCTATTGGCATTGCAGCTTGGTCCATTAGGCCTCTGCATGTCTGTGCTTTGATGTCTAAAAAAGCAGCGGCGGAGCGAGGCGCTTGTCAGGATGCCAAAAAAACTACGCCCCTTTTGAGGACCCGTTTCGCTGATGTTGAGTGAGCTATCTACACGAGTTGAACAAAAAATGAGGACCAAGGAAAGCTGCCAGGAAAGGAGCTTCTTTATCTCCATCATGGGTGAGCTTGTTTTAGCCCCGATTTGGTAAGCTCTTTCTGAGTTGCCCTAATCATTTTGAGAACACCCCAGAAGCTGCGAATGCGTGCAAGCCAAACCCTGAAATTCAGCCCTCTCCAATATTTTCCGGGGAAAACTTGGAGCAGGAATCCCATTCGACGTGTGCCTTTCCAACAAGCGATTGAAAGCTGAAAATGAATAGTTGGCCTCCAGGACTCCTGTTTTGATTTGGCCTTTGGGCTGATGTATTTAAACCACACATCCGGGGGACAATTCGATGGAGCCCGTTCCTGTCAATCGGAGTTGGGCATAGCTGAATGTCTTTAAGAGAGCCTTGCGCAGGGAAGGGGGAGATGAGAATAATGTGGCCCACTTGTACAGAGAACATAAGTTCTGTTCAGATCATGCCTCATATTCAGTCTACTCCCAAAAAAAACGACATAGCTTGGAGGAAACGGAATTTATGGGATGGGATCCGATGTGCATCCTAAGAGAACGGTTGGCAGCTATGACAAGTAATCCTAAGCCTTCTATAAGGGGTTTCGTAGTGCTCAAGTGTTTCCTTATATGCCTCCGTACGTAGGGCACATTGAACTTCTGGATATCGAGCACCGAAATATGGAATCTTCAAAAGGCTGCGGTTTGGGAGTAAAGTCAGAAGGGGAATCAGCACAGCTGAAGAGCAACATCGGTCCAAACAGGCCAAGAGTAAGTTTATCATCTTTTGCCAACCAAAGCCTTGACCAAAAGTTACTGCTCCATATTTAGTGAACCCAGCAGTGTCAAACCATTTCAACAGAGACCCCAGCAAAACCTCAAGCAAAGCAACTGCAGGGGTTTATCAAAAGGTCCTTTACATGGGATGAACATTTGGCAAACCACCAAAGAAGATGACTTTCAGCACACAATGGGGACAGAAACCTATGGTCATTGTGGGGCCAGGAATATTGATCACCCCCCCCCCCCCATATGCGAGGATGAGGGGAAACGAGTTGGAGCCTTGTCCAAAAGTTGTTCTTTTCCTGGCAAGCTGAGCCTAGCTTGCCAAGCCTCCCTTGGTCCTAAGGTACCAGACGATACCATTTCCGAGGGCCGCTTCTCATTGCTTCACTCTGTGCGATGCACCCAAAGAACTCCACGCTCTTCATTGCAAGGATTTGAACGGGGGGTTGTGGGGTACTGATAAAACCAGCCATGATTGTGGGCGACTATTCCTTGGTTGCTGTTGACCCCCCCTGCAAGCAGTGTAACTTGTTTTGCGGGTTTAGTGGAAACCCAACTTGATTTCAACCAAAAAAGTTAAAGTCTCAAGATCCGTTGCCCAATAGCAGTCAAGATTCGTAGATCGTCGGCCCCTTGAATACCCTGTCCGTACCCAATACCCCTGGTAGCGCCGAAAGGCGCCCTCTTCAATATGTCGCTGGCTGCTTGGCTCCCTTACCAGCTGGATTCTTTTCCTGTGCGTTCTCATCTTTTTGCCACTAAAATGTCAGGTCCAGAAACTGGGCGTGTCTACAATGGGGGGGGGCCTAAAATGGTGGTCTTCCCACATTAGTTAGCCTCCTTTTAAAACCACCCGCGAAAAGGGGCCTCGAAAAAACCCACACACACACACCCAACTCAAGAGTCGGTAGATTCCTCCGGCTCTCTCAGCGATCGACTCCGCCCGCCTGGCCTGCGCCCCAACTCGAAAGCTGCGCGGGTGTTCTGCTGCAAGACATGCAGGCAGCTGACCAGGTACCTCTATGGCATTCCCAAGAGCTCTCCACGCATAAGCTAATTCAGACACACGCAAGCAAGGAATCAAGCAAACAAGCCAAGCAAGCAGGCAGGCAGGCAAACAAGCGAACCAACAAACAAGGAAGCTAGGCTACGCACTGTCCTTCAACAGTGGCAGCTGACACGTGAGAGTTGAAAGACTGCTTTCCTTTTAGGCAAGCCCCTTCCCGCTTGCGTGATTGTTGCAAGCCAAGTGCCCTACGGGAGAAAGGTTGGGGTAATTTACTCCATACCCAGACAATTCGGGGGTCTGCGGGGTTCCACATTCATGAAAACAAGCTGAGCAGGACCATGGCTGTCGATAGTTTGCAAGGTCCCCTGCATGCCTTCGGATAAGCACTTTAACACCTCAGAGACCAGGGCCTCCCTTCGTGGTGTCCAGGAAAAACTCCAAAAAGGAAAGCCCCTCTGTGGGTGACGGGTCAAAAATCGGTACCCCACATCGGCCTAACACCGGCGGGTTTTCGCGTGGACTCGGGGCACGGATCTCCAGCTTCGGGATCCGTTCCATGGACCTCCCGCCAGTGCCTGGCAAGCTCACGGCTGAGTCAAAGATAATCACCTGAGCAGTACCTTCCCCATTTCCAGGGGATGGTTGAAAAGAAACGGGAATGAACCCCAACATAGATCAACTACCTCAGCTTCTGGCCTAAACTCAGAGGAGTCATTCTGGTCCAAACGAAATCCACTTTGCAGTTGGGATGGATGCACCCCTGTGCATGTTGGGAAACACCATCTACTAATACCAACTGAGGTGCAGCAGGTTGTCCATCCACAGTAGTGCCGCAACCTTGAAGTGAAGAATGAGTTCAAAGGAAAATCCCTGTCCACGTGTAGCTTTGGATCGTACCTGGCTCACCTGCACTTGGATGTTCACGTATGCTCCGTGGTTGGTATGCTTTCTAGGTTGGTTGTGCAACAAATGGGCCTCCAAAGAGGGTGACGTTCCCTTGATGTCCCTTTCAAGCAACCCAAACAGCTTGCCGAGTCTCAAAAACAACACACACACACACACAAATACCGCATGGCGTACATGTCTTCCCCCTAAACACTCCCCTCGATCAAAACGATCATCCGCAAAGCAAACCACCAGACACAAAGCACACAAGCATGGTCGCATAAAGGGTATGGGATATGCCAACGTACTTCTTCCTATGGTTGAGCCATACCTCGGGGCCTTGGTTATGCGAGTTCCTGACAAATGCACGCGCAAAAAGGGGCAGGCAGAAGGTGCCTAGGCATTATGATGTGGAACAAAATGTCGTCTGGACACAAACGAATCCTAGAGGACATCGAAAATCTGCCAGCCTTATGCTCCACTGGAAACCAGCATTCTATCACACGATGCCCGTCCACAGGAGCGATAGAACCCCGGTACATTGCCATTCTGGTTGGTCCATTTGCAACGGAACTTTCCATGGCTTGAGAAGTACGCATGAGACCAACACTCAAGGAGGCTCTTTAGCAGGGCCCCTTTTTGGGAGGGCATGTGTGGCATGTGCGACTCAGACAGTGTGGGACCGGGACTGTCCCCTACCAACCTTCCTCCGCCCATGTTGTGACTGTCTACGCGCAAAGTGTTTTGGTTTGTGCGAACACCGGTTCAGCCAGGTTCAAGTTTTGGATAAGATTGATTGTGCCTCGTTCAAGTGAATCAGAGACAATCGCCAAGATGTCTTTGAAGATCTCCAAGCCAAACGACCCTGCGCAGTGGCTATCAAACGGTTACGTTTCACTAATAGCAGCCCTCTTGAATAGTTTCTTGGTTGGGGGCATCCTTGTATCTCCATTGTAATCCAGTTGCTCGGTGACCCTGGTAGAGAAAGGGCCTCCTTATGGGGGTGGAGGGGGGGCGGGGGTTAGCATTTTCAGTGAGGAACCCACCAAGACCGAACAGAACAACCCTGAAATGATCATTCACAACAAACAAACTTTCAGTCCTCGTCAAGTTTAGTAATTACTTGAGCTGCGGTACAAACACCCACAAACACAATGCATGATAGTTCTGCCACCAACACCGTAGAGGGTTTGTGTTTGGGTTGCCGTTTCCAAAACAACGCAACGGAAATGGATTGTACCGGGTCAAACATATCCAACACCCAGCCTTGGGAAATGATCGAACCGGCTCGGCGGCTTCGGGGAGCCTTAGCAAGGCCCTGAAGCATGTTGCTGGGCCAATAACTCAAGGTTCAAGTGGATTCGTAGCAGGTGTAGGGGGTGTCTCCACCAGGGGTTTTGAGTTCCAGGAACGCAACGACCAAGCAAAGCCTCAGCCAGCGCGGCAATCCGCCAGCCTCAAATTTTCGAGGCTAGGTTCCCTTTTTGAGGTTGGTTTAAAGGAAAGTCAAAAGAAACAACATGTCTTTTGTATTTGTTTGGGGCCCATCTAGCACTATTGTGACACGGACCCTCAAACTACTCGGAAAAGTTGGTCCGGTACACCCTAACAGAATCAAAGAGCACTTTCGAAGGAATCCAATACGGTGCCACTGAACCATGTCGAGGGCTCAAAGGATCTGAAACCCATGCGACTGGAAGTACAGGACCAAACAGGATCCTGAACGAATAATCAAGCAGGACCACCCTTCCCTGCAACAGACATCAGGTGTTTTGCCACCTTTCACTCCCTGGAGCCAAGGCTATGAACCCCCTGGAATTTAAAAAGGGCAAAGGAAAGTCGACTTTGAGAGGTCCAAAACGTATGAACCGAGGTAAGAACTCATGTTTGCCACAACCGTTCCCCGTAAATCCAGAAGCCAACACACCTTGAAAAAGGAAGTAGAAGGCGTCTCTGCTTGCTTTTAGCAAAGTGTGAGATGGTCTTGTGGAAATCCTGTTTGAGCATCCACCCACCTCAATTCAGCTATCAACATACATACGTAACTCCTGTATGTAGGATGATGTATGCTTGCTTCCCTTTGGAATGGAACAGAGAGGGATTGCCATAGTGTGAACGGAAATCAGGTCGACTCCGGATCAGTAAAACAGTGGTTGATGATAAAACGTGCTTTTTGGAGGGTATTCCGCACTTGGGGTGGAACATCGTCCATATTTCGTTCGGGCTCTCTTTCATCCAGAGTCATTTGTGGCCCGGCCAAATCTGCCTACGGTCATCCACCTCGAGCATCGCTAACTCCAAGTAAAGCACAAGCTTCTCACTCGTGCTTCCAGGAAAGCCACTATAGAAGGCAACCAGGGCAAACCATTGTGTAAAATTAACACCTACTAGGCGCCCGCCCTAAGTCACATCAACTGTCCAAAAGTAACCTCACTGCATGGGCACGCTGATTCCAACAAAGTCACATCAGTTTTGAAAAGCCACATCAAACATCACAATTCCCAATGGGCACGCGGTCTCAAAAGTAGTCTTTTGAAAGCCTCCAAGGGTTGAAAACTGTACTATTTTGCATGGAACACAATCATGTCTACATAGATCCTGCTTGAGCAAACCAAAGGTTCCCCATTGGGCACGCAACCGCACGCACACCCAAAATGAATCCCTTGGCTTGCACACATACCGCAAGCTGCGGTTGTGCTCCCAACACTTCAGCCAGCCTTCCCGAGTGCTCTTTTTCAAGAGCACCCTGGTCGTAATGATCTCTTTTCGGACCAAAGACGAGAGCGGGCTGGCTTTGCTGCCCTTCTTTTGCAGATCTTGCACGTAGAACTTGACGATCTTCTCTATAGCTTTTCGCTGGTGCGGCAGGCGCGGCCTTCCCCTCGCCGATCTTGTCCTCGTCGGCCTTCTTTCTCTTCCTCATCTCTCCAAGCACGTCCCCACGGAACTTCGAGATGTGCGCTTTTGCAGGCGGTTCCACGCCTGCAACCACAGCATCGACATCTGCCAGCGGTTGCTGGGTCCGAGTGTAGCCACCTGCGCGTGCACCGGCAGACGCCACACTGCGGATCTCATTGTAAGACGAATTCGTCTTGCCGCACCAAGGACACTTTGGGTACGCAGTGGGGCATTGCTTTTGGCATTCAGAGCACGTTGCCGTCTGCGGCGCTCGCCGGTGGGGCCGACAGGTGCTTGGGAAGACGAAGAGCCGCTGCCGCTGTTCTGCTCCCCTTGAGCTCCTCAGCAAACACGAGCAGAAAAATCCAGTCAGGATGAGGGGGCCTAGCGAGGTCTGTAGCGAGGTTCAAGCGAGGTCCAGACCGTGTCACCAAATGTCATATCAAGACAACTGCCCACTTGTGCCAAAACAAGGCTTGGGAAGAATGCAATCCTGGCACTGCCAATAAAACTTTGTCACTCAAAAGGTCTGAGAAGCGGTTGGTAGGCGCAGCTCCAGAAGGGACAGTGATCTTGCGAGCCAGTCGCCCTCTCAGCTCCAAGGTCCAAGTCGTTCGCAAGGTCGTATGGCACTTCCAACTCATCTAAGGCAACGATCAAATTGCAAAAGCTCAGACGTGCTATCTGAGAGCTCGTGTATCGTTTCGGTGGCATGGTGAAACCTAACGGCTAGCGGGCCCGCAAGCTTGCCAAAGACAAGGTTGTTTTGGGTTGAGGTTGACTGATCACCCAAGGACAGCCTAAAACCACACAACATAGTCTAAGCAAACGCTGTGCCGGGCCCTCTGCAATCCGCACTGCTCGGCGCAAAAAACAGAGCTACTGGTAGCGCAGAGCTGCCTTTTCTGGAGTGACCACATCACCCCACTGTCTTTTGCGAGGCGTCACTCCGCTGTAAGCCATGGCACGCCTGACTGCAGCGCTTGCTGCTTCTATAGATCTACGTAGTGCAGGGCACGCTGAGCCGCTATACGAGGCAATTGCATGGTGCACGCTGAAAGAGCACGCCAATCATCGAGTGGGTCCACCAGGAGGCTCCGAGTCCTGAGTTACGTTGGCTCTATAAGCTAAAGTGGCCCCGGCCACTTCCACTCGCCGGC